GTGGAAGGGGAAAATCAGGAGCTGATACTAAGGGCTCAAGTAGAAAGCAAATGTTTTGAGAATGATGATGGCAAGAAATGTACAAAAGTGCTTGACACAATGGATGGATGGATGGATGGATTGTGATAAAAGCTGTACGAGCCCCCAATGAAATGATTTTTTTAAATGGTGTGTGAGGAAGTGGAAGACACCTGTACCAAGATAGTTGAACTGTTGGTAAGTGGACAAACATATCAATGCCCTATATGCTGTATTAAGATATGTATTATTCTGGAAAACCTGTGACTGCCATTTTCAGTGATTACTATTGTAAATTTCCCTGACATTTAACACCATTGTTTGTGTAAATAGCATCCAGCTAAAAAATGATTGCTTCTGTACAAGTGAATAATTCAGGAACGGTGATATGGAGTTAGCCTACATTGGCCCAATATCCCTCTATCAACAGGGCTTTAAGAAATTAGTACCAGGGCTAATCCAAGACAATATTAACAGATCATTATGCCGCAGGTGAATGATCGATAAGCCTCTCTACCATAAATTAACAAGGAGGTTTTGAAAGGGAGCCAAAGGCAGATAAAACAAACAGATCCAGGAATGGGTTTCGGGCTCACACCAAATCCTAGCTCCAAACATAAAAACAATTACCTACATACTCATGGATAAGTCAAGTTTTTCAACACTTTTATGCAGTTTTTTGTGGTAAAATTGGGTGCCTTGGCTGATATTCGGGTCAGCTTATATTCAAGTATATGCGGTAGTTCTTACATCATGACCCTGCTCATTACCCAGCCTCAGGAAGCCAACACAAAAGGTCTGGGTGCTGTAGCAAAATGTGGTGAAGAAATTTAATGGTGCCCAGTTATCAGATAAAACAGCGTCTGAGCCATCTAAGTGAGATGTCAACTTAGTCCACATGGAGGAAGCACACCATCATCAGTCACCAAAGGATTATAAATCACATAATCCGAAGTCGAAGGAGAGATTAGTTATCAGAGCCTAAATTGTGAGAATCCAATTTGTGAAGGCTATGGATGACAGTGGGAGCCTAAGACAGACTTGTGGGAACCACATTAGAAATAAGCGTTCAGTCATCTCCTTCTATCCACAATTGAGGGATGGGGGAAAAGTGCTCATTAAACAGAGTGCATTGGAGAGAAGAGGATAGAAGATCAAGGGATAATCCCAACTTGAACAGTGAAAAAACGGTCAGTTGATCCCCCTACGATGCACACGGGACCTGATCTGGTTTTCAACATTTCCGGTGTTTTTGTTACACTTTGTTTTGTTCTTTGTTCATATTAGGGTTTATCTCAGAGGTGTAATGTCATTGGGGGTCACCCTCTTGGAGTTGTTTTCAGTATATGAATCCAGGATTGATGTACCTATAAGGGTTTGGGTGGGGAAGGGGTAGTGGTGGTGGTGGTGGCAGGGTAAAAGGAGACGATGACAAGGAGTGCAGGAAGGAGAAGAATATTGGGAAACTGACTGTGGTAGCAATGGTACAATTCTGCTTCACGTGATTGAACCATGGAATGACATGCTATATTAATTCCCAATAAATATTTTTTAAATGGGGGAAAAATCTGTTAAAGTTTTCATTTCATAAGTCAAGGCTCAAAATCATAAAGTAAACAAGCAACTCTAATTCTGGTTTTGCCTCTAATTTTAAACTATGACCTTGGTAAAGCCATTTAGCTGACGACTAAGGTTTTTCATCTGTAAATAATGAAGCTAAATTTGAATAGTGCCCCAATTTTAACCCATACCTCTCTTAATCCTAAATTCACATGTTCCTTTAATATTACTTAAAAATCTGAGTCATATTCAATTAGATGGCCCTTCCAGCCATAATCTCTTATGTGCTATATAATAATACTGGATTTCATATGCCTACACCTGGGGTTCCACTTTGGTGGGTATTGTCTGCTAACAAGCAGGAATGGGATGAGACTGACTTGTGACCTTAATAGAGGGTGTCAATCAGACCACATTCTTTGTTTAATGCCTACTTACTTACTAGTTGGGAGCCCTGGTGGCATTGCAGTTACGCTTTGGGCTACGATCTACATGGCTGGTAGTTCGAAACCACCAGCAGCTCCGCGGGAGAAAGAATGGGTTTTCTGCTCCCATAAACAGTTAGTCTCAGAAACCCACAGGGAGGTCGCTAGGAGTCAGGCTCTCACTCAGTGACAGTGATTTGGTTTAGTTATTATTACTTAACAATGGATGTAAGGAATTATATACTAGAGCGAAGAATAGAAAGAAAACTGGTTCTGGAGTGGCCTGGGGAAAATCTTGGCTGATTAAGCTTAGTAGGAGGCCAATGCCTACTGGAAACATCTTGCCAAAGGTCCCAAGTCATATACACATAAACAAGCTACAGTTCAGAGGTAGAGAAGAGATCAAACATCTGGGTGAAATTTGATTATACCATGTAGCTCCCACCAAACTGCCTTTTCCTCTATGGGTCTGGTATGAAGGTGGAGAAAGATACTGAATGAATTCACCTGTGAGTAACTGGAAACAGGATTCCCTGCAAAGTCATCCGACTGTGTATACAGTAAGTTCACCGAGAAGCAGAGGGTGTGACCTCATCGCTGGCAAGAACCAAGAGTGGAATGTGTCTTCTGGTGCCAGCATCTGGCTTACCTTTTTGTCTGACATCTAGACTTTGGACTGAAATGCACCGACCACGAGGCATTTCCTCAAACTCTTGTGAGTTCTGTAGGACACCGCAGCAATTCACAGAACCCAGAGACATAAGGGAACATACTCAAGAGGGAGTTGGTTGGGGGCGCAGAGCAAGAGTTGCAAGAGTTCAACTTTGGGGATTTTTTTAAATTTATTTTTTAATCAGTTTTGGGGGGCTTGTACAACTCTTATCACAATCCAAACATCCAACCATTGTGTTAAGCATATTTGTACAAAGGTTGCCATCATCATTTTCAAAACAATTTCTTTCTACTTGAGCCCTTGGTATCAGTTCCTCATTTTTTCCCCTGCACCCTGACTGGTTTGTCTCCTTCTTGAGATTTTTTCAATTTCTAACTTCTAATGCATGCTTTGAGTCCAATGAGGACACCAAAACTGCTATATTGATGTGGTTTGAATAAAAATAAAGAACAGCCCCATCCAGGGGGAAGAACAACAGAAACCAGAGGGGAAGGGAAACAGCGGTCAGTGTGAGATTTGAAAATAATTAACAATCTACAATCTATCAAGGGACCATGAGGGTTGGGGGAGGGAGCAGGAGCTGATCCCAAGGGCTTAATGGAAAATAAATCTCTAGACAAGAACAATGGAATATACGTACTACTATGTATCAGATAACAATGGATTGTAAGAGCCCCTAATAAAATTTTTAAAAAATAAATAAAATATGAAATAAATTTATAAAAAATAAAATAAACTGAATTCTTCGGGGTGGAAGAAGGAAACAACCCCTTCCAAAGTATATAGGCCTAAGTGGAGGATGCGTTGAGAAACACATTCTCATTTTTATGTTTGTGCTTAATAAAAGCTTCTATGATTTTTTTATAGCAGTACTTTTGACAAACTCTTGCATACACTTTTAAGAGAACATATCAATTAAAATGATCAGGTGAAATCTTCTACTGCGAGAAACTAACACTGAGGGAAATATGACTAGGACTATATTCCCTAACTTATAACAGAAGTAATCTGGAAAGCTAGTATTCCATGGTAGGAAAGCCACCAGTTTGGTACGTTAAAAGATAAAGTCCAAGTACATTATCCTGCTTTAAAACATCATTCCCACAGATTCTCCCCTAAGAGCTATGCTGCCTTAAAGTGAGCACATGGTTGATTCTCTCTCCCTAGAGAAGTAAACATTCCTATTGCTATCTCCTCCCTCTGTGTCACCCAGACCTCCACATACCGTCCCCCAGTGCAGGTATTAGGTTTCCTCACCTGTGAGCTCTGGGACCTTACTGTAGTGACCACCCACCTTGTGACAAATGTTAACTACTGATGATAAGTTTTAAAGTTTTAAACTTTGCAACAGACTAAATAGCAATTTAAAATCAAGGTTTTAAAATGCATCTCTATTAACCATACAGATTTCAAATAATGTACTGTAAAAAGCATAATAAAATGTACACAACGATATTTCACCTCTTTATGATCTTCTACCACTGTCAAGATAGTGTCAATGGTATGTAAAATTCCCATAGCCATTACTGTCTTGTCTTCAATGTCTTCATATTCATCACTTTGAAGAACTTTGCCAAATATCTCAGCCTATAAAAATAACATTGAAATAATATTCAATAATTGGTACAGTCCCCGACCAATATAAGTTAGCAAGAAATTAAGTCTTTCACAAAAGAGGTAGTATTATATATATATAATTATCATTATTCAAATTCTAATTCTTGCACTCCTTATCATGTATTTTCTTATAATGATAGAAATTATCATGTTTTAAATATAACCAATTTTTCCTTATCTAGTGACTTGAGTGGAATATGTTACTATTAGTACCAGATTGCTACCTACCTTCTGATTGTTATTAAAATAGAAAACAGGGAGTAAAGGGAAACAAAATGATGTGATACTACAATTAAAAATCCAATAGAAAGTTGAAAAGATAAAGACATATAATCCAAGAAGGGATGAAACAAAAAGAATCAATATAGAAAATAGGAAAAAAAACAAAAACAGGAAATTAGACATTCAGTCCAGGCAATAATATTCGGTTCCAGAAATACAGAACAAAAAAATGTTAGAGGGAAATTTATCAACTAATACACTGTCCAAAAATAAAGAAAATTTATTTACAATTTTGTTTTAATATACACACAGAAAATACACAGAGAAATGAAGACCGCAGAAGGAACACAGCGTTATAAAATTTCGGAGCAACACATGAAAAGATTTCTGCTCTGCCTAATGGGTCCCTGTGGGTTAGAACCGACTCAGTGTGGGTTTGGTCCTGTATTTTGAAATTACTTACATGTATTGCTTTGACAACAATAATTACCTTTAAAAATAAGAACAAACACTGAAAGAAAAGCAGGAGGAACTAAGATTTTACTTATTCACATTTTTTAAAGCAATCTCAAATAATGAGCCATAAGCTCTGAGTTGGAATTGACATCACAACAATGGGATGAGGTCTCTGGCGGCACAAATGGCTTGCCTTTGACCACTAACACAGAGATCCGTAGTTTGAACCCACCCAGCAGCACTGCAGAAGAGAGGCCTGGGGATCTACTCCTGTAAAGATTTTAGCAAAGAAAACTCTATGGAGTCTTACTTTGTAACACACAGAATTGTCAAAAGTCGGAATCAATTTGATAGTGATGGGTTTGGGGAGATTTTTTTGTTTGTTTTACCTCAACACTTTTCACTTTTTTAAATATTTAAATTTTAGCACTGGCACTAGTCTTTAATTTATAAAACCCCTAAGGTTTATGAACCCCTTGAAAAATAACTAGCCTCTTTACAATGGCTCTGGGGTTCATAAGTGACCTTATCCGATAGTCAAGGTAGGAAAATATCAGAAAAGCAGTCCTTTCGATACTGACAGAAAGAATAGTCAGCACAATGCATGTTGAAGACATGATTCCGATTGGGCTTACGTACTACAACGATGATTTGACCATCTTAATACATGACACTAACGACAGTGTCAGCATTATTGGAGCAAACAGTGATTTTTACATGAACGTGTCAGTTACCTATAAAACCAAACACTAGATGTTAAGCTTTAATTTATTTAGCTTACTTAGGGCTTTTGTACCAAACTAACATAAAACTTTGCCCAGTCTTACCAAGTGTTGTGTCATATCAACAGCAATGGAGGCCACCTCTTGACTGTATTCACATACCATCTTCTGGATCACATTAGTGACATCATCGTTCTCTGTCTCTCTGACAATATACAACAGCTCCTGCATAATACACCTCACGTGTGGCCGCATACATTCCTTAGCTAGTGTAATAAAACAAAATTAGTGAAAATTAGCACTTATAGGTAGGGAAAGAATCTCATCACAAGGTAAAGTAGCCTAATACCTAGATACGGTTTTAGATGCACTTGTTTGGTGATGACTACGTTTGAAAGTTATACCAAAACACTGTTCACTAATGCATTAATTTCCCCTCAGTAACAAAGGTTAAGCAATCCTACCCAGGAAACAACTGCTCTGTGCAAAATACCAGTGCCCCTATTAACTTCTAATTATACAAAAGTTCTGTCATCTGCATGACTTATACACCCAAATTAACATCAGGACACAAGTATAAAATATCACGTGCAAAAAGACTAAGCCCAGACTATTTGAATTGGGGCCACATTAGATGGATGACAGAACAAGAGAAAACTGTAGGAGAAAACCCCAATTCTTAAAAAGTCCACATTTACTGAGCTAATTGAGACTAGATAATTCCCAGAAATGAGCATCCTGAGATATGAGGCTTCTTCAAAGGGTTCACGGAAAAATGCAATTAGAAAATAATGAAATTTTCTCAAACTTTTGGAAGCGCCCTCATACTCTTTTAAAATTACATTAAAAATATCCTTGAGTTCACCTCTTGGATACGTATCAAATTGGCTCAAAAAAGAGAGCGTATCACCCATGAGTAACAAACTCATCAAAAAAATCATGTATGTGATCAAATGGTCAAAAAGTGCTCTAGAGCAACCAGAAGACAGTAAAGGGGACAGGGAAAATGGACCACCAGAAAAGAATGAATGAAAATGATGACAGTTAAACTGAACATTTAACCATCAAGGAATAATTTGTTTAGAAATCATTAAACGAAAACCTAATCACCTGTATAAACTTCCACTTTACACAAAACAAAGCATGACTTAAAAAAAATAAAATGACTATGCCCAATACTGCTGGGGCCCATATCAACCCACTCCACTCACCACTCAACACAATGGTTCGCAACCTGTGGGTTGCGACCCCTTTCAGGGTCAAATGACTCTTTCACAGGGGTCACTCATTCATAACAGTAGCAAAATCAAAATTATGAAGTAGCAACGAAAATAACTTTGGGGGGGGGCACCACAACATGAGGAACTGTATTAAAGGGTCGTGGCATGAGGAAGGTTGAGAACCACTGACTTAGCAGTATATCCTGCGTAAAGAATCAAACCTCCCAGTGAAACATTTTGAATGGGCCTGAAGTAGGTTCATGTTCTTCACAAAACTGAATTTACGTTGACTGGTTTATTTGATCCAGAAGCTTATCGTTATTGTTCAGGAACAAACGAAGCACTTCATTAGAAATGCTACTTGCCATTCCCAGAGCCTGCAAAACAAGACTCCTAGAAAGCAGTCTGGAAGCCACCCAGTCCGACTCTCCTAAGTATAAAGTGGAAACTGACATATCATGTGTCTCACACGGCAAGTGAGTGGCAAAGCTAACACCAAGCCTACACGTGGAAACTGGCGCTGCCAGTTAGCAATGCGTCTCCCAATAGAGACCACTGCCCGGCCCAGAGCAAGTCCTGGAAAGGGTACGAAAAGCCCCGGGCTGACTTCCGAGGGTGAAAGCTCAGAAATCTCAACTCTACACCCTAACACTAGTCTTCTTTCTAGCACTGAAAGGGAGAGGAATTATCGGAGAAGGTAATGGCGAACAGGAGGGAAAATACACGAACAAAAACCAAGTCTAAAAGATATCTTTAGCTTTACCTTGGACCTGGTTAGAAATCAGGGACTGGAGCGCAAGGGCGGCTTCCACTTTGACAGGCATCTCTTTATCTTCAACCAGGCTCTTCTTTGCTAGCTCCACTGCGTTTCTTAGGTTGAACTCGTTGTGGAACTTCAAAGAACTGAAGGCATGAAGTACCCAACAGGACTATATTGAAAGAAGTCAGGGCCATTAGGACGAAGGCATTCTACAGTAACATCACATGAGTAAGAACTTCTACACCGCAGACCATCACTAAGCCTGTCAGATCTGGTTTCTTCTTAGACAGTAGCATATTATCTTCAGTTTTTAACTTCCAGTTGGGCTACTCTTTACATAAGAAAACAGTTTCATTACTTCTAAACTATCTATACTCAATAACATTTGTCATAGGAAAAAGAAGCCAAAGTTAAGTATCTCCCCCCAAAAATCATCTTTACGCTTTAAAAAAATAGTTTAAGGGGGAAACGATTACAAGGATCTACATATAGCCCCCTCCCTTGGGGCCTGACAACAGAAACGTGGGTGAAGGGAGACGTCGGACAGTGTAAGACATGAAAAAAAAAAAATTTATAAATTATCAAGGGTTCATGAGGGAGAGGGGATCGGGGAGGGAGGGGAAAATATGAGGAGCTGATGCCAAGAGCTCAAGTAGAAAGCAAATGTTTTAAGAATGATGATGGCTATAAATGTACAAATGTGCTTGACACAATGGATCTATGTATAGATTGTGATAAGAGTTGTATGAGCCCCCAATAAAATGAACAAAAAAATAGTATAACTGAGAACTCGACCTTTATATTAAAAGCTCTTACAAAACCAGTATTAAAATTCATTTGCTGGCCTTTACACATATCGTGAGGCATTATTTTCCCATACACTAGCTAACTTAGCAAACTTTTTTAATTTCAAAGAGATACAAATATTTTTAACTCCCTATAGGTTCCCTGGTTGGGCTACTAACAACCAGGTCAGCAGTTCAAATCCACCAGTAGATCCATAGGAGAAAGATGAGGCTATCTATCCCCAGAGATTTACGTCCTCCGAAAGCCTATACAGGGTCATCACAAGTCAGAATCTTCTCAAAAGTAGTGGGGTTGGTTGGTTATAGCTTACCAAAAATGAGCCTTGTGGCACCATAGTTAAGCATTCAGCTGCTAACCAAATGGGTGACAGTTCAAGCCCATCCACTGCTCCAAGGGAACAAGATGTGGCAGTCTGCTTCCATCAAACTTTACAGCTTTGGAAACCCTACAGGGAAGTTCAATTCTGTCCTACAGGGTTCTATGTGATGAGATCAACCCAACAGCAGTGGGTATGATAGCTCATGAAATTTTAAACTAATGTACCATGAAATCATATTTCTCCTTTATTTATTCCCTAGGTGCAAAACACATAATCAACAGTAACTAATTCAAATCATTAAAGCCTTTCAGTTAGAGGATTGCAATTTTTACATTTTTTAAATCATTTTATTGGGGGCTCTTACAGCTCTTACCACAATCCACACAGACATCCATTGTGTCAAACACATTTGTACATATGTTGCCATCATCATTTCCAAAACATCTTCTTTCTACTAGAGCCCTTATTTTATACAATCTCTTAAAGGGAGGGATACAACTATAAAAATACTCATTAGCTTTCAATGCCCCTAATCCACATTTTCTCAAACATTTCTTTAGTCATATATACATACAGAAGGTATCATTAGCTCCTATTGTTTTAAGTGAGACATTTTGTGCTAATGTATTTTACAAAGCATTGAAATTAAAGTTGTATTTGTATTTCTCCATAAAATATATTGGCTCAAGAAATATAATGAGCTAAGATACAAATAAACTGACATGGATTTTTTTTTTAATTAAGCAGTAACTACCTAATATGCTAGAAATTATAATCAAATGTTTAACCCAATTAGAATTTTATGCTGCTTTAGACAATGGAAATAAGTCTGTTTATAAAATTACATCACCATAGTACTCCTGACAACATCCCTCTCACACCATAAAGCAAGTGAAGTTCTAGGGAATGAAAGAACTGGGTTTAAAACCCACAAACCCCTAATTTATGAGCCTGTTCTTTATTCAATGGACGTGATGATAATGGACCTTACACGATCATTTCATCTGAATATGCAAAGTCAATGTCTCCACTAATTACTTCAATAATTAAATGATAGGACAAGATTTTATGATACATATGGAATATGAAAAACTTACTCTAGCTCGAAGATATCCCAGATTAGACAATAACAGTGGAAACACGTGATTCTGCAGCAACAACTCCATTTGGTCCTTGAATAAACTCTTCTGTTAGAAAATAGAAAGTTTCCACTTGGTTTTTTTAATACATAAGAAGTACTTCTAAAAACTTAGTTTTATCATGTCTCACCTTTAATACACTTTTAATTACAATTTTGAAAAATGTGTTTGACCTAGATATTGTATATTTTAAATGAAGAAAATATAGTATCTCAAAGACAATTTGATCGTGATTTTTTGTAGAAATAAAACAATTAACACTCAAGTCATTTCATATCATTCTCTATACAGCAAGTTACATATGGACAGGCTGACAGAAACAAATGACAGCTTATTTTTCATTAAAGAGATAGATGACAAACAATTTATCGTCCACTCCATTATCCAGAAACAGTCACCAGTCTAAATCATTCATGACTTTCAGTCTCTCCTTCGCCTTCTTCCTCATGGCTTAAGCGCATACATTAACATTTTGATCATCCTGACCTTCAATAAAATATCTGCTAAGGAACCAATCACATGCAGGGCTCCATCTTTCTTTCTGGGGTCAAAGTTCAGGTCTGTTAGAATCTGGTAACAGAAGGCCATCATTTTGGGCAACACCTAGACAGAGAGAAGAATCTATGTTATTCCACATGCGTTTTCACTGATTCCTAAAGTACATCATATTAGGAAACACAAAATTTCAGAAAGATTTCTATTTCCCTATATCAAACAATTATAATCCCAGTAAAAAGGTACAATTTACTGAAAAACAGAATGACCAATGATACTTCACCTTGTTACTCCCTAAAAACAGAACAAAAAACACTGCCATTGAGCCAATTCTAATTCATAACAACCCTATAAGACAGAGTAGAGCTGGCCCTTGGCCTACCCACACTAAAATTTTTTTTAAAATCATTTTATTGGGGGCTCTTACAGCTCTTATAACAATCCATAAATGAGTTGTATCAATCACATTTGTATATATGTTGCCATCATCATTTTCAAAATATTTTCTTTCTACTTGGGCCCTTGGTATCAGTCCCTCTTTTTTTCCTATCTCCTCACACTCCCACACCTATGAACACTTGGTAAATTATAATTATTGTTATTTTCATATCTTTACAAGAGCATATAAACCCTCATCTTCCTCCTGCAGAGCTGCTAATGGGTTCAAACTCCTGACCTTGAAATAAGAAGCCCAATATACAACCACTACCCCACCAAGACTCCTTTGTCCATTCACTAGAAGAGAACAGTGTTCATACAGTGTCAAATTATAACTTAATATAACAGAATTATAATATATAAAAGCTATGTATTTAATTTGTGTGTGTGTATTTAAATATTTTTACAAAACAACCTTATCACCTTCAAAGTACTCTCCATTACACTTATTACATTTGTCAAATCTGCTATTCCATTCTTGGAAACATTTTTCAAACTCATTTGTTTGGATGGCTGACAGCACTTCCCTTGTTATTTTCTTTACCTCTTATATTGTCATCAAATCACTATCCTTTCATGTCCCTCTTCATTCATGGAAACAAAAAGAAGTACACATGGAACAAGGTCAGGTGAGTAAGAGGGCAAGGGAAGCATGCTGTTTTTAGCCAAAAACTGTTGCACTGAGATGGCTGCGTGAGCAGGTAATTGACATGGTGGCAAAACCAGTCCCCAGGTCTTTTTTGTGGCACACTGTTATGCAATTTTTTCAGAACCTCTAAATAGAAAGCTTAATTAACAGTCTGATCTGGTGGAACAAACTCCAAATGCATTACAAGTCAACATTTTCATCCATTCAAGAAGTTGACGGATATCCAGAACAAGGTTTGTCATCAAAATATTTCACCCTTTTTTCAAACAAGAAACTACTCACACACTTGAGTTTTTTTCTGTAGTGCTGTCCTTGTAAGCTGTGTTCAACATCACTACAGTGTCTGCAGCATTCTCTCCCCCCTCCCCCACCACGCAGGAAACAAAATTTCACAGCCTCACACTGTTCTTTTAAATTAGCCATGTCAATAAAACAAAGTTCAAGTGAAACTGCTTTTACAAAAAAATTCACTGTGACCAGAGAGAACCTTCCCAGGCGACACCACCAGGTGCACTAACTCAGAGCAAGTTGCTCGATGCTCGCCTAGCGGGAAAAATACATACTATGAAAGCTTTTTTCCAGTTTTTTTTTTGGAGGGGTACCCCTCGTATATTCAAGTATCAAATCAATATAGGCTACCTTTCCGTTTTAAACGTAAGAGAATGACATATACCTCCTTTCTTTTCTTGGCAGCAGTATATAATAAAGTCTGGGCTGCTGTGGTTGGGGAAGCATAATCTTCAAAAATATCTACGAGGGCAAAAGGGTAAGACATATTACTAGAATGGAACTACTTAGTACAGATTTTAAACCTAAATCCGAGACATATAACATTCCACATGATATGACAACAACAAAAAGCTGAACGTTTATCTTACCCATGTTCTCATGTGCAACCATATTTATCATACTTTAGAGCCTTCTCTTCTAAGCATAGATACTAAGGAAAACAACAAAATCAAAAGTATCTGCATCACGGAGGACTGGCGATATCTAAAAACAGCTATTTAATGTTTACTCGTACCAAGCATTGTTCTGGCTCTGCAGATACAAAGGTAACCCAAAAAGTGCCATATACTGCTTATGTGGTTAAGAGAAAAAATTAAAAGATTATACACACACACACACAAAGAGGTCAGATTCAGAAGAAATATAAACAAAGTAAGAAAACAAAGAATAAGGGTATGGTTACTAATTCAAATAGGATCCCCAGAGAGTCTATCCCATTCTCTGTTAAGGTAAAAATTAAGCAGCGAGTACATTAGATAAAGGAGAAAACGATCTTAGACTACAGATAAAGCCCTCTAAGCAGAAGGAGCAACAAGTGTGCAAGCCCTGAGGGCCTGCTAGGACAGCTCTTAGCTGTTTCGACAGGCAGAGTCAACCGGCTTTTGTTGTGTATCTAGTAAAACTAGTACATTATTTCATGTCATGAACATGTTGACAAATTTCAAAACAGGCAGGCAGTTTTATAGAAATATCTGAAAATTTGAGAAGAACCTGAGAATGTCTGTGTTTTAACATAAAAGTAAGACTAATGTTGGCCTTTGCTTCACTATGTAAGATATAAAAATCAAACATAATAATACTAATAGCTTACATTTAGCAATGTGTATTCTGTGCAGAGCACTATGCTAAGCAGTTATTTCATGTGTTATCATCCCACATAATTCTATCATCAATATTATTATTGCCTGTTTTACACCTGAAAACACTGCATCTGACCTGCTCGGAGTCACAAAACCGGGTCAGCATTTACACTAGAATGTCTTAAAGCCTGAGCTCATATTCAGTTTTACAAAATCTAGAATTATACTACTTCTTGTGTTAACATTGGTCACTGTTCCAGACTGAACTGTTGCAGGGGCAGTGGATGATTGAATGTGGCTCTTCTAGCCAAAGTCTCTACTTCCCACCAAATGACGTCCCCATGCAGATCACCAAGAAGCCAAAGAAGGCTGGGTTACAGAAGCTGAGAAGGGTATCTTCTCCTAGAGCTAAGCGTGAGAGCCTTCCCCTAGAGCCAGTGCTCAAAATATAATCTTCAAGCTTCCTGAATTTTTAGACAAATAAACTTCAATTCTTTAGGATCACCTTCCTGTGGTATTTATTACAGCAGCACAAAGAAATTGACAATCAATAAAATAAGATACAAAGGTTTTGCTCATATAAAGATTTGCTAGTGAAAGGAAACTAGTTCAATAATTGTTCTTCCTTATAGTTGTCTAAAATTAAAATACATACATCCAATAGCCACTGCATTCTAAGCCACTGAAGCTGAAATAATAAAATCACTTTTTAACTAGTCTTGGCGTATCCCTATTTTTTTTAAATGTTTTTTAAAATATTTTTAAAAAATTTTTTTTAAATTGGGGGTTCTTACAGCTCTTATCACAATTCATACATCGATAATGTCAAGCACATTGGTACATAGGTTGCCATCATTTTCAAAACATTTTCTTTCTACTTGAGCCCTTGGTATCAGCTCATTTTCCCCCTCCCTCCATTCTTCCTCTCTCATAAACCTTTGATGTGTAATTTTTTTTCATGTCTTACATTGTCTGACGTCTCCCTTCACCCACTTTTCTATTGTCTATCCCCCTGGAAGGGGGTTAATATGTAGATCATTGTGATTGATTCCCACTTTCTCCCCCCACCTTCCTCTTATCCTCCTAGCATCACTACTGTCATCATTGGTCCTGAGGGGTTTGTCTGTCCTAGATTGCCTATGCTTCCAGCTCTTATCTGCACCCGTATACATGTTCTGGTCTAGCCAGATCTGTACAGTAGAATTGGGGTCATGATAGTGGTTAGGGGGAGAGCATTAAAGAACTAGCGGAAAGTTGGATGCTTCATCAGTGCTATACTGCACCCTGTCTCGTCTCTCCTTGTGACCCTTTTGTAAGAGGATGTCCAATTGTCTACAGATTGGATTTTGGTCTCCACTCTGCGCTCCCCCTCATTCACACTGATATGATTTTTTTGTTCTGGGTCTTTGATGCCTGATACTTGATCCCATCAACACCTCATGATCACACAGGCTGGTGGGCTTATTCTATATGGGTTTTGCTGCTTCTCAGCTAGAGGGCCATGCGTATCCATATTAATTAATTGATTAATAAAATGCAAATCCCAACTGTCCCTCAGCACACACTACTCTCAATTTTTTAAAAAACTAGATACTATCATGTTTGACATAAGGAATAATGATCATTAGCTGAAAGCTACAAATACTCTACATACGAAACACAAATATTATAGAAAAGGTAAGTACTTAAAGATTGCTTCAGAGAAAAATGAAAAAAAGTTTGGCTTACAGAAAATTAGGCAAATGCATTAGAGAAAAGAATTAAGTTACACCAAAAAAATGCAGTGATTTTCAAAAGAGAACAGTAGAATGTGGAGATAAGCAGATCATAAATCTTAGGGTGCATTCACTTGCTTTTTTGGACACTTTCTCCAAAAAGAAGTACCTCCTCACCCACGGAATTAATTAATACAAGACACAAAGCTCTATAAAAACAACACAGTCCAATCATCTTGCACTTACACCTGTCGATCAATCTGTATACGAGGGACACCTGCCCAACAAGGGGCAAGCACTGCTCTGTCACAGAGGCCCTGCAGCAGACCCAGGACAGCACTCTCCTTTGATCAGTTTTACTTCAGCACTCGCTGAAGGGTTACCAGAGGCAAGGGCGATGAATGCAAAATAAAGTGAGTAATTAAGATACAGTTCTGTAGTCAGATAGTTTCTGAGATGGGAAAGACAGATGTTCACAAATAAGATTTGGCATGGTAAGTGCACAAGTATTCTGTGGAGTGATTAATTCCAACTGGGGGTAGGGGAAGTGAAATCAGGCAACATACACAATCCAATATGTTCCAAGAAGACCCCAAAGAACTAGGCCACATTTGGTGGGCCACAGCAGGGAACCCCATTTCTTCTGAAATATTTAGTCCCTGGCACCAAATCGGGGCACTCTTAAAATATGTAGAAATCCAAGGGATCTCTCAGACAGAGAACAACGGATGTTGTAAAAGCACAGAAAGGCACGGTCTCTACAGATCACTGGCACAACAACAAGCACAAGAGCGATTCCACGATGCTTTAGCACCCACAAGCAGATGAATACGGTGGCTTTTCACGTCCCACATCCAAAGATCCCAATGACTGGTTCAATGGAACCTCAAACACTCATGGATTTTCAGAGTTGATCCTGCACAGCAGAACTTTGAAAAAAAAATTTCACCCCTCCCCCAAACTTTGAAAATTTAACTGATAAAATCTGCTCAAAAATGTAAATTGTGACAGCACTTTACAGATGCAGGAACTGATGAGGATTACCAAATTTCATCCTGATGTACTCGTATGGATCATCTTGCCATAGCTCTTCATCCTCATCTTTATAACACATCACAGAAAAAATCACATCCTCGGAAATATTCTGAGAGAAGAAAACACAAAATCATGAATGAATGTAGAATATTTGGCAATATCAAAAATGCATTTACTGGCAGCCTTTACGATCTGAGTTTTGTTATGGCTGCTCTAATCTGGTACAGTCAGTCACCTTTCTGTTAAGCATCTAGTTCATCAAGTGAAACAAGGAAGAGCTGTGGAGGCATGGTTTGGGATAAAGAGGTAAACATAAATTGTTTTGATATAACTGTTACATGTGTCTAGAAAGACATATATATAACATTATTCTTTCAACCAGCAGCAGGAATAATATACTTATTGAGCAACGAAAAGATCAATATTAGGCATACTTTGATTCTTTAACGGAAGAGGCAAATATGTTAACCCAAGGTCATGTTTACTATTTATTTCTTATTTTTGAAATGTTTTATTCCCCTTGGAATCCTAAATATCAGTGACTCAACAATATTACATTTTTCTTTGATTAAAAAAAAAATCTGATTTGTAACTCTACAAATGCCGTTTTGAGGAGAAAAGAAATCACATCTATTAGTCTCCAAGTACACTGCTGCTAATGCTTTATATCCTTTTGTGTTTTAACATATATAAAAAAGGATCATCTCTTATCTATTGCAAATTTTTAAATCCTGAAAAGAAAAATTCAGTGTAAGGATGAGGGCATTCATATTTTTTTAATTAAAAATTTTTTTTCATTCTTATTCTTATATTACAGCTTTGTAAAAATATGGCTAAAGGTATTAGTTGGAGCAGAAATACTATCAATTAACCACTACTTTGTAGGAACACAACAAATAAAATCAGTTTATTTATTGCCAAAAATTATTATTTAATCAAGGGGCTTGGGATGGACATATAAAATGTCAGGCCTCTAATAAGATGATGATA